GAGAGCAAACTAAAGTTTCCTATTACTAGGATGATTGTCTCTTTTTCCATGCATCATTTGTAGGTTTTGCTTTATGGAACTCACCACTGCATTAGCTGATGTGGGAGATTTGTAATTTATACATCTTCATTGTGAATGAAGAGCTTTAGTTTAATTAAATGTCTTTCCTTGCACTGTATAATGTTTTTCCCCTTGACATTCAACTTGTCAAATATTAGGCTAGACTCTTATTTTATTTTTTTATACTTGTCTAATTCAACCTTTCTGAATTACCATTTTATAATAGATATGTGTCTTGTATATAGTGCAGGCTTGATCTTTGCTTTGTGATACAACCTGAAGTAGCTTATCCTTTATTAAGGCAAATAAGTTTAGGCCATTTGTATTTATTGATACCATGTATTTGTTTGGTATTAGTTGTCATATGATTTTGTTTTTATAATTTCTCTTAAGTTTTTAATGATAGTCTATTTTCTTTGTTTTGTGTGGGTACCTTTGATAATTATGTAAGGTTTTATTTTCCTAGTATTACCATTATAACTTTATATAATATTCTTATTCTTAGTTCTTCCTATCTTTAGTATCTATAAGTTTCCTACTTTGAATGGTGACAAAATTTGTTTATTTTCTCTTCCTTCTTTTCTTCTACTCTCTGATATTTACTGATGATAGCATATTTGTCAATGTTTATGTTGCTACCAAAAAGTATGCTTAAATTGCTTAAATGATATCTCTTGATCATCTATTACAGATGAGGCACACAAATTACCTTTCTCTTTTCATTCGTGACCGTGTTTTATTAGTTGAATTATTTCTACACTGTCAGGGCATTTACATTCAGTTTGATATCCAATGTCACATGTTTTAGTCTCATTCCTATAGTTAAATACAGTTGATGGTTATTTCCAGTTCTTTGCTGTAGAGTTTTCAGATATTTCTTAGCTGATTCAAATTTTATCTATAGTTGTTTCCTCAAAAAAGGGATCATAAGAACAATATTTCCTAAGGTTTTTTTTCCTATTTTCAAAACTATTTATTTGTAGGCTTTTTATTTGAAAAATGGTATGGTGAACATAAAATTATTGGTTTATACTTCCTTTCTTTGAGGATCTTATACTTCTTACTTCACTGTCACCTGGAACTCAGTTTTTTGTAGGGAATTTGAAGCCAATCTGAATATTTTTCTCCCTATAAGTGATTTGATCTAGATACCTACTTGCCAAAGGATTCTATGTTTTTCTTTACAGTTGAATAAACTTACTAGAATGTATCTTATTGTTGACTATCCTGGAACAGTTTTCCCTACCATGCAGTGCACT